GTGTTCTGTGTGTTCTCCCTCCCCAATGTGGCTCCTATTTTTCGACATAGATAAAAGCAGCGCTATTGATTGATTTATTGATTTCCACAATTTTGGTGCTGATGACTGACTTGATTATTCATTCCATCTACATGTCTAACTCTGCCTGGGGTCTAATCACTGGAGCCACCAGCTCCTACGTATATTTAAGCTGCTTGCATTCAGTCATCAGCTCAAGGTTATTCTTCATCTCTCCAGCCTGTGGTGAGAGTGTTTTAGCGTACCTTAGTGTTTCTGATTACCTGATCCTGTTCTGCCTCTCAACCACTCAGCCTGCCTGTTCCTGTTCTGATCTGTTTGGCTGACCTGTCTTTGGACTCCTGCATGTTCTCCCAGGCTGCAGCGTCTGGGACACTGGGCGGCATCCGCAGCATCTTGCCATGCTACAGGTGCAGCATCTTTTTTAAAAGTGCAGCCTATATAGTAATATATATATATATATATATATACATACATATAAAAACAGTAATATAAGCATATGACTGTAAATTTACAGTTGTAACATTTTTTTTTTTCTTAACTAACCTATGTTTCCTTTCTGCAGAGTTTCCTGTTGTAGACGCCATAGCTACTGTTACTCCAATTCTCCGGGATTAAATAAACACTTTTGAATAATCCCACTGTCTGTCTTGCCTCGAATATTGGGTCTTTCGGTTTTTTTAATGACGGGAGGAGCCCAAAGTATCCAAAGTGAAATCAAACCCATATCATTGTTTTTGGATACTAATCTTAATATAGTAGTCTGCAAGATATTTTTGAGGGCAAAAAAAAAATCCTTATCAGCTGGGAGATCTAAAAAAAAAAAATGCAAAACTAACAGTTTTTAGTATACTCAAAACACCATGCCTTCTAAATTTTGTTTTTTATGGTTGTGAATTAGCATACTGCATTAGTGTGGCTTTTTCTTAAATGGTTAATTGTCCAGGAGGTATGGTACAGTCTGTGTATATCAGGGAAACGCAGACACATGAGAAAGCAAATATGCAGAATGCCTCTAACATCAAAGTGCATAACAAATTAGGTCTTAAATCTCTGTATTTTTGCAGCTCTGAAGGACTGAAAAATAGAGATTACCTTATGACATCTAAAAAACATATTTCAAAAATAATAATGATTGAATTAAAACCCAATAAATAACACTGAGCTAAGGTCCTTAGATCATCATTCTCCAAAGTGAAACTATGTACCACCACATTAAAGAGGAAATAATAAAATCCATAAATCATTCCTTAAGAATCCATTTTTATGTTAGTGTGAAAAGTTGGTGACAGTTGAATTATCCTATACAGTTTGGCACATGTCCACGTAACAGTCCTGTGTTTTGGAACAATGGTGCTTTTGATCTACCTAGGAGCTTGAATAGGTTCGTAGTGATGTTATCTCTGAGGTTCTAGTTTCCCACGTTAATTCATAGCAGTTATGGCCACTTTTAACCGTGCCAAGATAATGCTTCTGCTGGTATTTATTAACAAGCCAGCATAGACTTTCAGTTTAGGCATTTTATTTATTAATTCCTATCAAATTCTCCCTCCCTCTCACTTGTCTTGACTAGACCCCCATTTTACCCCCTCTACTCATTCTGGAACTCTTCAAGCCTCTCATGCTGCAAAAGATAAATGATAATAGATGATAGAAAGCAGCAAGTTACAAAAAGGCTGCAAAAGCATACAGGTTCTGCAAACACAAAAAATATTCCAAAGACTGAAATGATGCTGACACACATACACATTTAACAGATGCAAAGGAAAAATGCTGCAAGTAACTGGAGGAGCTACAAACCAGCTCTGGTTAACAAGTGCTCTGGCCCATTACGGGGTTTATTAACTCAAATGGGACCAGAACAAAGACTTCAATACCAATTAATGCCTATAATGAACCAGAACCAGACCCGTAGCAAAATCACAAATGAGATGCCAACCCACAGATTGTCCTTTCATATTTTAGAAGTGAATCTGAATAGATTGATTTGTGTGGTGTGAAAATACACTTAATGCTCAGAAACTTTGTTCCCTTAGAGCATTGTGGACAAGCTGATAAAAGCAAAGCCTCCCAGTCTTAACGTTTGTAAGTTAAATCTATGAATTAAATGAAAGTACACCTTGAGAAGTGTCTAAAGGTAACAAATGGCTTCCTTTTGTGAAACACAGAAAAAGGGAAGAAATCAGCAGGAAGAGAAAAGTGAACCTCCAATAGTATAGTCTGGAGATGATATACCTCCAGGAGTCAGGGTCCACTGAACCTACTTGTTCTGGCAGGGTGGGGGTGAGAGGCATCTCTGTGGAGTGCTGGCAAACTCTCCGGTGGAGCAGGTTGGCTGAGGTTTCCCTGGTGGGTTTAGTCAGCCGTGGATGGTGGGATTACACTCTGATCTCTGTCTGGCATACGGCAGTGAGTTGATTAACAGAGTTCCAGGGTTAAAAAGCTCCAGTTCATCTGACTGACTTTAGTGGGATTAACCATTATCTCCTCACTGCAATAGGGTTAAAAGTGAGAATCAGAAGTGGATAAGAAACTCTGGGCTACATCAGGTGAATGCTTGATATTCAGCAGAAATGTTTCACTCTAGTGAAGTTAAACCTCTTGTCACTTCTGCTTTGGTTCAGGGAGGTTTACAATGTTAATGTTAAGCTGCTCTATGCTCCCATCATATAATTTCAATTTGATTTGAGTCCAGACTTTAACTGGGCCACTGCACTTCTTTTATTCTTTTCTTTTTCAGCCCATCAGTGCTGTTCTGTTTGGGATCATATGTCCATCAATGACCCACTTTTAGCCAAGCAGGTTTTGGACATACAGCCCCTTGAGTCCAGATTTATTTATCATACACAGAAATCATGATCTCACTACTCTGTTCCTGCAAGGTGCTCAAGTACTTTTCATGCCTGAAACAGAGGTTTGGTGAGAAAGGATCAAACATTCAATTCAAATTAAATTTAGATATACTTTATTAAACAGAATGGGAAATGAAACATTTAACAATAACATATCTAAAAGGCTAATGAATGTACACTTTCTTTGATACAGTTACCTTTGGTGGGGAATAGTTTATCATAAAAGTTTAATTAAACAGCCAAAAAGCCTAAACAGCATTGTGTGTCAGAAACACTGAACTTCCTGACACAGGGTGAATTAGTATTACTCACGAGTATGTACAGAAGCTCTTTAGAGGAGAGAGCTTAAGTGTGAGAACATTTTCACTATGGAAAACTCTCCAAGTCAGAGACGGAGATGAATATTGACTTCAGACGTTTCTGTAGCTAACTGTCCTGATTCTGCCTTGGCACAAAAAAACAACAAAAATGATCAAAGTAGCTTTAGAATAGCTCTGAGGTTCTAAAGCTTGGCAAGCACTGTGTAAGGCAACCTGCAGGGTCCAAAACCTTTGATATGGTGATTAACATTTGTCCATTACGATTGAGGCAACTGCTTTATTCACAACCGCAGGGCGTTGTATTTGCCAAACCACTAAAAATGTGCCTCTACAAATATCCTGCAATGACAAAAAGTTTCTGCTACCTGAAAAGGCTTTAAAAACGTTTTGGTTGTAAAGGAAAAAACAAAAAATGAACAGACAATAAAAGATGCACAAAGAAGCAAGTAAAGATGGAGGTTTTTAGCTTTAAATAACTTTATATAACTTCTGTATTCTCACTCCACAGTAAGGACATTTCTTCTGTTTCTTTCTTCTATTTGCCCCTCCAGTGCAAAGTCTCTGCTCTCTGTCTTCAGTCCTAGTTGCTTAAACAGTGTGCTTCATGGCTACAGGAAGTGGGGGTGCTGTGGCAACCCCGTAGTGGGAGTAATGAAGAATCCTGCTCGAAGTAGCGGACTAGTACATACCGTATACATAGTCTAATGACAGAAACAAGGAGGAAATATGGCACAGAAATGCATTTAGTATTCGTCCTCTCATGAGAGACTTTATTTACATGACCCCAGAGCGCACCTTTACATTTGGACACCTGTAACCAGGAACCCTGCCTGTAGCTCAAAGAGCATGGTGCCGCCGTGCACTTTTACACCTGTTCATGCAGTTTAATTTAACCATAATATTTTAGACTGTTATTTTAATCTTGGATTCTTTGTGTTAATGGAGAACTATTCAATAAATAATCATTTACCTTTATTGATCTGAGAGAGGAGAAAATTACCTCTGCATTTAACCCATCCCCTCGGGGAGCAATGGGCTGCTGTCATGGGGGAGCAATTGGGGATTAAGGGTCTTGTTGAGAGACCAAGAGTGGCAGTCTGTGGGAGTGGGTTTAAAATTCACCACCTTAGGATTCCAAGCCCTATGCCCTAACCACTAGGCCGCCACTTCCCAGCCGCCACTCCCAATAACATTTAAATAGTATAATCATATAATTATTTCCTTTTGGTTTGAATAAAAGTATTTTGGAGTTAATAGAGTCATGTTAGGCATAAACGCAGTGAGTCAGGTTTATGCCAGCTGACCAAATCTACTTTGTTAAGTGTTATTGTGAAGTTTAATTTGTAGAGAATATATTCACCTGAGAAATTATGATGTCTGTGTGTTACATACCCTGGTTGTGTGCACTGAACTGTATATGACAATAGAGTAGTGAATCTGTATCTATTTACTTATTTATTTTTATTGTATCTTAAATGGGCATATAGGCTCATAGGTCTTTTGTCCCAAAAAAACAAACAAAAACAATTTCATATCACCACATGTCCAAAATTACTTCCAGCGGCACTGGTGTGCTTTCTCTGCCCTATCTCATTGGTATTCTAAAAGGCAGTAAAGCAAATGTGATTCCTAATAAGCAAATTATTACTAGAATTCATCAGCGATTTGAAATTCATATTTGCATATTTATTTCTAACTAAAGCACAGGATCCGTAAGACTATTCTTCACGGTTAAACAATGCTATAGGATTACTCTGTGATGGCAGTAAAGATATTAAAGACATCAATCTTTGGTTTTCCTTCTGTGCAGAGCCTTCCCACATGGGAGACAGAGAACAAGATTTACTGTCAGCAGACTCTGGTGGACGGAGATGGTCCTAAAACGTACTGGACCCGAGAGCTTAAAGGGGATGAACTGATACTGGTGAGCATCCAGCAGTGAGTTTGGTACCTAATAGCAAATCTTTTATTTAGACATGAAATGGTTTAAGATTCTTATTAAGAACATCTTTGGGGAAAATACCACATTATCTGTGCATTTACTAGGTTTTCACTACTTCTAAGCATGTAATTAAGTGATAATTACAAACTGATTTTTGGAAAATGGATCACCTGATCTAATTGGTCTCATTTAGAATCAGAAAAGGCAAAATAAAATTATACCGCTAGATTTACTAATGTTATTATAAGATCCTTAAATATGTGCACCTGAGTTCTTTAGATGAGGAAGAGCAGCTCCTCTGCTCAAAGCTCTCCCTTATTGACACAGCTTCCCTGCTCATCTCTAACATGTAACAACATGTTCCAGTCAGATCTTTTGATCTTGGTTTCTAGGAACTTATTTGTTCCTAGAAACCAAGGTTCAAATAAGAGCCTGTTAATTTCTCCGTTCAGTCACCAAAAGCCCAAGCATTGCCTGCTAATGATCAAAACATGCTTCCTTGTGGTTCTGGCTGCCCTAAGTCCACAAAAGTATGAGAACTCTTCATCTAGTTTAATCTGGAAGATACTGAGGTCAAGCGCCATGCATGAGGGGGCATGTGTGGTTGCTGCTTCTTCTACTTCTACTTTTACAATGCTTTGCATCACTTAAATTGGAAAAGAATAACTGCCAGTACTTATTTAATGGCATACACATATACAACAGAAACACGAGTTATATATTTATACAGACCTATCTTTTGATCTCATAAACAACAAGAAAACAAAGCCAGTTCTAAATCAAATCTATATGAGACAATTGAGTGTCAGGAAGCCACTTTTATTCACTTTAACCCGTATGGTGTTAATATTGAAATAGAAAATGAAATAAAATAAATTAAAGGTACAGTGTCTAGTAATTGATGTGGTTAAATGATAGAAATGTAATAAATTATCTAAATCTATGTCATTTATTATCACCTATGGACTGAAAGTCTCAATGTTTATGGTTGTCTTGCCTTAAAAAGTGCTTTTCATAATTGAATAAGAGTTGGCTCCTATTAGCGGAGACAGTCATGTGGAGCTGACAAACTAGTGACTATAGAGATCGCAAATATGCTCGTGGCAAGTTAGGTCTATATACAATCCTACATTGACTAATAAAATACTCATTACAAAATCATCAAAAAATCAAAAAATAAGAACTTTATTGATTTCACATTGAGAAGTGTACCTCTACATTTAACCCATTCCCTTGGGGAGTAGTGGTCTGCCATCACGGGGCGCCCGGGGAGCAGTGTGGGGTTAAGGGTCTTATTCAGAGACCCAGAATGACAACCTGTGGGTGTGGGGCTTGAACTCAGAACCTCAGGATTCCAAGCATTATGCCCTAACCACCAGGCCACCACTCCCAACGTGGCCGCACTCCCAAATCTAAGCAAACTACACAGATTTTTTGTCATTTTGTACACACAAGTGTAAACAAAAAGAAATTTTGTTAAGTACAGCTCTGTAGACTATTTAATTTTTTAAAGTGCAAGTAAGCAGCAGTGATAAAAAAAAAGTGATGTAAACAAATTATTGTATAGTTACAGTTCCAACATTTCAGTTTTTTTTTTTTTTTTTTTAAATAACCCTTTTTACATAACATTCAGCAGTCTAATGGCAGTGGGGAAGAAACTATTCTGGATTCTGCTGGACCTGCATCCAATGCTTCAAAGTCTCTGTCCAAAGGGCAGCAGGGAGAGCAGTCCATGTTGGGGTTGTGAGGGCTCATTTACGATGTTACTGGCTCGGGACACGCAGCGCTGGGATGAAATGTCTTTAATGGAGGGAAGAGGATCCCTGATGATCCTCTCTGCTGTTCTCACCTTCTTCCAGTCTGAGGCGCTGCAGCCTCCACACCTCACAGTGAGACAACAGGTCAGCACGCTCTCTATGGTGCTTCTGTAGAAGGTGGGGGGGATGGGTGGGGGCAGGTCGGCTCTTCTCATTCTCTGCAACAAGTAAAGGTGCTTTTGTATCCTTTTGATCAGTGAGGTAGTGTTTACATTCCAGTTGAGGAATGTTTATAGTCCAGGTGAGGGTGTCTGTGATGTGCACCCACAGGAATTTGGTGCTGCTGACCACCTCTACAGCTGAGCTGTTGATGAGCAGTGGAGCGTGGTTAGGACAGTTCTTCCTGAAGTCAACAATGATCTCCTTGGTCTTCTCCATGTTCAGGATCAGGCTGTTATCTTTGCACCAGTCTACCAGCTGCTCCACCTCCTCTCTGTAGATCTGGTCGGTTTTGTCACTGATGAGGCCCACCACCATGGTGTCGTCTGCAAACTTCACGATGTGATTGGTGGTGAACCTGGGGACGCACTCATGTGTCATGAGGGTGAACAACAGGGGGCTCAGGATGCAGCCCTTAGGGGTGCTTTGGATAATGACATAAGAGGTGTTCTGTCTGACCCGGACTGACTGAGGTCTGTTGGTGAGGAAGTCTAGCAGCCAATAGCAGAGGGGTGTATTGAAGCCCAGCTGTTTAAGTTTGCCCATCAGATGCTGTGGGATGATGGTGTTGAAAGCTGAACTGAAGTCCAGGAACAGCATCCGCACTTGGATGTTCTCCTGTGTGCCAGGCTCAGGTGGAGAGCAGCAGAGATGGCGTCCTCTGTGGAGTGGTTGCGTTGGTAGGCAAACTGGAACGGGGTCAAATGTTGGCGGCAGACTGGAGACGATGTTTTCTTTAACCAGCCTTTGGAAGCACTTCATCATGATGGGAGTCAGAGCGTCAGGCTGGTAATCATTGAGTTAGGTGACCTGAGGCTTCTTTGGGACTGGAATAATGATGGCAGACATGAAGCATGCTGGCACTATGGATTGGTCCAGCCAGGTGTTAAAGATGTCTGTGAGGACACCAGCCAGCTGATCTGCACATTCCTTGTACACCCGCCCAGGTATGTTATCAGGCCCTGGGGCCTTCCTTGGATTGACTCTTCTCAGGTTTAGTGTTTCCTCCCCCTGGTGTGGAACAGCTTTCACTGCTGGAGGCTGTTTAGTGCCTCAAATGTTCGAAAGAAGATGTTCAGTGTATTTAGGAAGTCAGTGGTTGCTACATCTACCGGGGGGGAGGGTGTGTTGTAGTCTGTGATCATCCAAATGCCTTTCCAAATCCTCCTGGTGTTGCTGTCATCATGGAAAGATCCTGGATCTTCTGGCTGTGGTTCTGCTTTGCTGATCTGATGGCACGGTTTAAGTTGGCACCAGCTGTTCTCAGTGCCTCTTTATCACCTGACTTGAAAGCCGTGCTTTTAGCATTTTCCGAACCCCTCCATTCATCCATGGTGGGTGGTTGGCTCAGTTGGTGATGTTCTTTTTGATGCTGACGTCCTCAATGCATTTTTTTTATGAAGGCTGACACAGTCATGGCATATTCATCTATATTAAATAAGTTGTCATATGTTGCGGCAGCATAGAAGATGTTCCAGTCAGAGCATTCAAAATAGTCTTGGAGTTTCTCCATGCCGCTCTCTGACCACCCTGACCCCTTTAACTTTCGGTTTAACCCTGATCAGCTGGGGCTTATATGCAGGGATAAGCATGACCGAGAGATGATATGGTGTCCCGAGGTGGGGGCGGGGGGCCTACTCTGAATGCATTTTTTTTAATGTTGGAGTAAACCAAGAGTAAATCAGTTGGGTTTCCTATATGGGAGATCTTCTACTGATAACATAAGAAGACTGATGCACCTCATGTGGTTCCAAACTCAGGAAGCAGATTTCTCATCTCCATCAGAAACCGCACATATGCTGGATGCTGATGGGGATTTTTTAAATATGTCATTTTAAATTAAGCGTTCATTTCTGCCTGTTTTGCTCCAAGGAATTTAATGATAATATCGCACATTCTCTCCTCGAACTCAGAGGGTAAGTCGGAGTGCAGCAAGATGGGAGGAACAGCGGAGGCTGTAGGCTTTGCTTTGTGCAGGAGGTCCTGAGCGCTGGGGGCGGAGTGTTGATAGAGGATGTGGGACTTAGGGATAACAGGAGCAAGTGACGTTTAGACACTGTCCTCAGACAACATGCGGTAATTTATAAATGTTTTAAATCAGGTTGGGTCCGGATTAGCCAGCAGGTGGATCTGGATCCGGACTGCGCTCCGCTAATGCGTGACCTCTGCCTTATAGGGTCCCCACCAACTTTCATTACAAACTTACACCCTTGGCTCTACAGGATGCCATACAGACTTTTTTAGAATAGCATTAATAAATATTAATGTCTCATTAACAGCTCAGCTGTAGAGGAGGTCAGCAGCACCAAATTCCTGTGGGTGCACATCACAGACACCCTCACCTGGACTGTAAACACCACCTCACTGATTAAAAGGGCACCAAAGCGCATGTACTTCTTGCGGAGGATGAGAAGAGCCCACCTGCCCCTACGTTTCCTGCCCAGCTTCTACGGAAGCACCATAGAGAGCGTTCTGACCAGCTGTCTCACTGTGTGGTGTGGAGGCTGCAGCGCCTCAGACTGGAAGAATGTGAGGAGAGTCGTGAGAACAGCAGAGAAGATCATCAGGGCTCCTCTTCCCTCCATAAAAGACATTTCATCCCAGAGCTGTGTGTCCCAAGGCTGTAACATCATCAATGACCCCTCACACCCCCACCATGGACTGTTCTCCCTGCTGCCCTCTGGGAAGAGACTTTGAAGCATTGGATGCAGGTCCAGCAGATTCCACAACAGTTTATTCCCCACTGACATTAGACTGCTGAATGTTTTGTAGAATAGGTTATTAGTATTGAATTTTATTATTATATTTATTATATTTTATCATTATGTATATATATATATATATATATATATATATATATATATATATATATATATATATATATATATATATATATATATATATATATATATATATATATATATATATATATATATATATATATATATATATATATATATATATATATATTATTTTATATGTATTTTTGTTTTACACTTGTGTAAA